GTGAAAAACAAAGAAGATAACAAAACAGAAAAGTGACAGAAGAGTTAAAATGTAAAGAAGGAGACAGGAATAGAGGAGAGAGAGAGAGATAAAGAGAACACAGATCAACATCATTGAAGTCTGACTCTAGACCTGTGGAAAGAAAAAGACAAGACAAAACTGAGAAACCACAACAACAAACAACAAATATAATGATACTTGTAACATCATTAGAAAGTATTTTATACAGTACATGGTAATACAAGATATATTTGATGGCCACCACAACCCGAGTGTGTATCTGATAAACACCTGGATCTAAACACCTGTGTGAGCATGACGTCACTACAAGGTTTCTCCATAAAAATGTTCAATAGTGGATGTGGGGACCCACAGACCCGTCCCCACAGGACATGATGGTAACACAGGGCAGACCGGAACCACAGACACACAGCGGCCCCCAAGCCCGGAACTCCAGGAGTCCCCCAACAGGGACACCCGCACCCCCCAGAGAGAGAAGCAAAGGGAAGCCCCGGGCGACCCCCAGCAACCACAATGCAGAAACCCCCAGGAGGCCGTAGCGACGAGTCCACAGGCCCCGCCGGCAACCCGCCCCTCCAGAGTGGATCCAGCCATGGACACCGAGCCCCGAGTCCCGAGGTCATACCACCCCCCAACAGAGGCCCGACAGAGCCAGGGCACCCAGGCCCCGGCAGGCAGCCACCAGGGCGGGCCCACACACACCCCACCACCCAGCCCCAACTGCCGAGAGCCGCCAATGCACCGGCAGCAGGGGGGCCCACCACCGGAGGAGAGCGCGACAGGGGCAAGTAGACTCCACCTTAAATGGGGGTCCCAAATTGATCCAAGAGAGGGGACTCTTGCAACTCTTGCATTGGAGGACGACTGCTCTAACCACTCAACCACAGCCGCCCCTAAACTGTAGCTACAAGCTCAAATGTGCACAAGAAGAGAAATAGATCAAGTTTCTAAAGTCGAGTTCAGAGAACGATGATTTTGAAAGGAATTAGATTTCATCATATCTTTGTTAGGGAGTTTTTGGTATGAATGTTGTTATAATATGGCTGAAGAGATCTTTCTGTAATGTGAAACATTCTCTTGTCTCGGCCTGAAGACCATCTCACCACTCGCAGTTCCTCCTCGGCTTGGTCACCATGAACATCAACATTCTCTTATCTCCTCCTGGAGGTCAAAGGTCATGGTTCATGTCTACCTGCAGCTGTGAGGGAACTCCTGCTGGACACAAGTCTGCAACAAACTGTTCGACGCTCGTTCTGTGACATGACCCATGCGTCATGTGTCTGTGTTTGTAACGTGTCTTGAATGGACCCTTGCAAGTAAAATGCAGGTTAAAAATCTTCTACCATCGAGCGTGGGTCTTAAGAGAGAATATTTTCTCCAACAGTCTACAAGGAACATTAAAATTTAAATTAAAATAAAAAATGTATTGAAGTTGCAAATAAACTTCCAGAAAACTACTCACCTTTGTTCTGATATATGGTTTAAATATCCCAACGTACGTAGAAGTAGTTTGATTTCTAAAAAAAAATGCATTAACAGGAAAACAATGTTGTGAGTGTTCAGCTTTCAGAGAGTGAATCCAAAGTGTTTACTTGAAATCTGTTTGTCTTTAGCAGAGGATGGTGTGGTGATGAGTTCTGGATCTTGTCCTTCTCACTGGTCCAAGTTCAAAGGCCGCTGCTTCCGCTACTTTCCAACAGCTACAAGTTGGGCCAGAGCCGAGGTTTTCAGAGACTTACTCACATTTTCTTTCCCTGATCCAACATTTTACTGTCAAACTCCTGCTAAAGGTCCGTTACATCAACTTCCTGTTTGTGTGACTGTAGAGAAACTGCTTGTCCATGAAAGCTCACCTAGCATCAGTCCATAACTTTGAGGAGCACAAGGAGATCATGAGGCTCATAAATGCTGCTGGTCGGTCTTCTGACGTGTGGATAGGAGGATCTGATGCTGAAGAGGTGTTTATCCAACATAACAGTTCCTCTTTTCTGTTTGTTTGTGTGAAACATTGAGTCAACTTTAAAATCCATTAAATTCTGTCTTCCAGGAAGGCTTTTGGTTGTGGAGTGATGGAAGCTATTTCCAGTACACACACTGGTGTAGTGGTGAACCCAACAATTACAAGAAGAACCAGCACTGCTTGCAAACACACTTTGGAGGTAAATTAAAAGAATGTCCAACATGTTTCCAAACCTCCACTGGTCATCAGGTCCTACTGCCTTGCCTTCTTCATTCTTTTCAGAGCTTTCTGGACTTCACCCTCACTGATCTTTCCCACTTCCTGGTCCACAGTTTACATGATGCCTACTCTTATTTCTCTTTCATTCTCTTCATTCATTAGCTCCTCAAAGAACTCCTTCCATCTTCCTGTCACACTCTCCTCACTTGTTAGAACATTACCATGCCTGTCTTTAACAAGACTAACCTGCTGCACATCCTTTCCAGCCTGATCCCTCTGTCTTGCCAATCGGAACAAGTCCTTCTCACCCTCTTTAGTGTCCAGTCTCTCATACAACTCATCATACACCTTCTGCTTTGTCTTAGCTACCTCTGTCTTTGTTACATCTCACTGTCATATGTAGGATGACTGTCTTTAAAGTTCCTAAATGAGATGAGCCGAGCTGTGTTGGTTGGAGAAATGAAGTGGGACATCGAATTAAAAACCCTATCAGTGAAAGGAAGTTCATCTGCTTTGCATTTGACGGGGAGAGGCCAGGTTAAAAAAAACTAGGTTGAAGGTTTATGTTTGTCTGTGCAGAGTCTGTAAATTGATGGAATCCAGAACTCAAGACAGGATAAAAACATCACTGGTTGGAGAACGACTGGAATAATCAACACGAATGCACAATTCTCCCAATTGTATCATGCTGGGTGATAATGCAGGTTGATGAGTGAGAAAAGCACAATCATTGTGAGGTCTGAGTGGGCGGTAAACTGTGATGATGGTGGGAGTGGGTCAGACAGATTACACACCGAGACAGTGGGTTCTGACACAGACACCTTTATTTCATCTAAACCAGCCAAAAGAAGACCAGATCAGTTTCTCCATGAACGCTCTGATGCTCAGAGACGTCAACACAGTAGCTTGAAGTAGCTCAGTGCATCAGATATGATGACCTGTATTCTGAACTTGTTTCTGTAAATCAGTGGGTGCAGCAGGGTTCTGTATTGGGGCCCGCCTTATTCATTATTTATATCAATTACCTGGATCTAAATTTATCGGATGCTGGTTTGCTCTTCTATGCTGATGATACAGTTGTTTACTGCTGAGGAGCAACTCTTTTTAGGCTATTTTTTATTTTTTGTTCCATTCGTCGGGACTGTGTTAAAAAGTCTTTTTTGTGTTTTCTGCACCTTGAACATGGAAAACACTTCAGAAAGACTGAAAACAGACAGAGTGAATTACATTGAGTGCTCTAAAATCTAGATTTTAATTGTTTTAATTGTACTAGTTGTTGTAAATGTGTTTTGTTTCTCGAAGCGATGCTTTTAATTTTGTAGTCTTTGTGCTGGGGTAACTACGTTTGGTCTTTGCTGCTGCCCATCTTGGCAAAGTCTCCCCTGGAAAAAAAACCAACACATGTTCAATCTCAGGGGGACGATCTTTTTAAATGAAGGTTAAAATAAAACAGGTTAAATTAAATGCTGAACCTCGCTCCTAGTTTTGCTCAGAACAGAGATTTAAAGCTGAGAACAGGTGTTTGTTTTTACCTGAAAACTAATCCAGACATCACGGCTGCACTATGACGGCTGTGTCCTGTAAGTTGGAGTGTTTTCCAGGTGTTAATGTATTGTCAGCATGTCTGGGGTGTTTTACTGACTCTGCTGTTCATGTTTCCAGGATCCAAGTGCTGGGATGACGTTCATTGTACCGAGCTTCGGCCTTTTGTTTGTGCCATAAACCTCTGAGGAGTTCAGGGCAGAAGGATCTGGATCTGTCTGCATTAACCTGATCTACATGTTTGTGTCATCAGCCTTGTGCAGAATTCAAGTCTCTTGCTCTTGATTTACATCCTCGTATAGTTTCTATTTCTTCTATTTCTGTAACGAATCTTAAAGAGGCAGAGAACAAACATCTGGCTGTGTCTTCGTAAAACGAGCAGACTCAATGTGTCGTGGACAAAACAGCAAAACTTTCTGTCTTTTTACTTTGCAAAATTAAACATGAATCATCAGAACATAAGATCTCTGAGTGTTTTATTCCAACTGAATTTCACTGCATTGACGAGAACATGTATAATATCAAGCTGAACATTAGTGTTTGACAAGAATCAGCTCTAAGTGTCTGAAGATAACGGTGCAAGGTCCAAGTTGTTCAAGGTTCAAGGTTCTTTACTGTCATTTCATCACATGTGGGACATGAGGTGGAACAAAATTATGCGCTCAAGGTCCCAGTTACACCCAAAAAATAGGAAAAATATAAAGTATAAAAAGGCAACAGTATACAAGGATCTAAGATATATGCTAAACAATATGTAGAATAATACAGTGTATTAAACAGCAGCCTGAGCATGAGTCTGTTGTGAGCAGATGGGTAAGAAATCAGCAGCACTACTTTGTTGTCCATGGATTCATCCATCCATTCATCCATCCATCCATCCATCCATCCATTCATCCATCCATCCATCCATACATACATACATTCATCCATCAATCCATCCATCCATCCATCCATCCATTCATCCATCCATCCATTCATCCATCAATCAATCCATCCATCCATCCATCCATCCATCCATCCATCCATGCATCCATCCATCCATCCATCCATTCATCCATTCATCCATCAATCCATCAATCCATCCATCCATTCATCCATCCATCCATCCATCCATCCATTATCAGGTCTCAGGGCAGCATCTTGAGCAGGCAGGTCCAGACGTCTCTCTCCACCTCCTCCAGCTCTTCTGGGAGGACTCCAAGATGTTCCCAGTCCAACTGAGAGATTTAGTCTCTCCAGTGTGTCCTGGGTCTTCCCCGGGGTCTCCTCCCAGTCAGACATGCCTGAACCACCTCAACTGGCTCCTCTGGATGTGGAGGAGCAGTGGTTCTACTCTGAGTCTCTCCTGATAACGGAACTTCTCACCCTGTCTCTGAGGGAGAGTCCAGCTCCTGCAGAGGAAACTCATTTCAACCTCCTGGATCCACCATCTCCTTCTTTCAGTCTCTACCAGAGTTCATGACCAGAGGTGAGGGGAGGAACGTAGACCGACCGGTAAACAGAGAACTTTGTCTTACAGCTCAGCTCCATCTTCACTACAACGGACCGGCACAGAGTCCACAACACTGCGATGCTGCACCAATCCGTCTGTGAAACGCTCCATTCTTCCCTCACTCATGAAAACCCCGCAGAGTAAAACAGAAATCCATTGTACAGGTGAGGCTGAGCACTGTGAAGCAGAAAATTCATGAGATGTTTGAGGAAAAGCAACTTGTTGTTTTAATGTTGGTTCTCATGTGCAAAGCAGCTGCTGTGATTCTCTGATGTACAGATGTTTCTTAGATCTCTCCTAATGATCTTGTCTGGAAAACTAATGCTCTCTGAGATGGTACGAGCAGGAAACAGTCTGAGAACCAGAACAGATTAAAAACCAGAGCCTGTAATGGACGGGTGCTGTCAGCAGGGGGCGCTAATCCCACCAACATGACACCAACTGTTAAAAATGTAGAGAAGCAGCTGCGGCAAGTTGATTGATCATTTATTGTGTCAGGACCTTTAAAGCACATGTTCTGACTTTTACTCTTTTCATTAAAAAACACTTCAAATATGCTGAAGATATGTTTTAATCCACAATCACCTTTCAGAGATTACAAACACCTTTCTTTCATTATATTTAGTGGTTTTCTAAAGTATTCTTGTCCTTATGGATATCCCCTGTTTTTGCCTTATTAGTCCACCTAAATGTTTCAGATGAGTTTTTATTCAAAGATAACCAGAGTAAAAACAAAGTGCAGTTTTTAAATGTTTCATTTGTTCAGGGTGAAGTGGCGTCTTAACGAGCTGTCCCGTTAGTAAATCATGAAACAACAGGTTTGTCAGGAGCTGATTTCAGGTTCACTTCATAACCCGGTCCTGATCACTGCCACACATGCAGAATGAAGGAATCGCTTCAGTGTTGTCTGGAAATGGAGCAACCATGGATCAGTGGTGAACCTT